GTCAAAAACTTTAAGTTACTTTAGGACGATCAATATCGGCCAGCTCGTATTCAGGGCTATTGTCAGGATGATTTTTCTCTGATTTAAACTGATCGGCCAGGACGATTGTGAGATCGGCCTGGAGGATCAAGCCAATTTTCAATCGTCCAGTTTTGCATCCAGGGCGATGCTCTGGCCGATCTTCTTTGATTTGTACTGATCGGCCAGGCTGATATCCAGATCGGCCTGGACGATATGGTCGGAACTTGCAATTAATGAGCTCCTTTGATGTTCTTCTATTTAAGAGCTCTTGTTCAACGTTTTTAAGTACCTTTGGCTGCTGTCTTGACCTGAAAAGACCTTGAGGAGAGAAAGAGAGAGAGGAGAGAGAGAGGATCTTGTGAGGGGGAGCTTGTGAGGGGATTCACAAGGGTTGCTTCAAGGATCGCTCTGCTTCGTCTTCGTCTAGAGTTTCTCGTCCGTGGAAGGGTCGGTAGAGGTAAGGAGTTTGCTTTTGGTTTTGGTTCTCTGCCAGCTTCAGGAGGAAGCAAAAGGAGGTAGGTTCTCTGCCTTGCCGGGGTGGCAAAAAGGAGGTTCTTGTAAGGGCTTCTCCGCCTAGCCGTGGGGGCAAAAGGAGAGTCACGTTTTGTAGTGCAATACTTGGAGGGTGCCTCCAAGGAGTGGACGTAGGTCGAGTCGACCGAACCACTATAAATCTTGTGTTCTTATTTTTGCTTCCGCACTTTTTAATTCCGCATTAATTCCTTGTGGTGTGATTTGGTTTGTGATTTTATTTCTTTGTGATAAGAAGTTTTTTTTAAATACCAATTCACCCCCTCTTGGGTAGCTTGGGACTAAGTTCATAGGTCTAACATCCCTAACGAACTTTCACAACATGGTGGCACCATGATAGTATAAGTTAAATTAGCACCTCGATGATGTTGGGCTTACTTCGCTACAGCGCTACGCTGACATGTGCGGTTAATGGTTGAATTGACATGTCTTTTGGCTAAGTCGATGTCGCTATTCATTTTGGAAATTGCTTCACCATTGCACTGTAAAATTCATCATTATGGCTCTTGAAAGTGCAATCTGTCACCATGGCATTATGAAGTTTGGTGCTCCGACAGTCAATTTCCTAAGATTGATGTTTTGTGATGCTGATATTTGGTGCACGGCACTGTGATATGCTATGACATTAAACTTGGCTTTGGGGTGACATTGATCTCCCTAAAATTTCAAAGCGACTTACACTGCAATGTTTGAATTACGAGCTGGGGCATTGCATATGACAAAGTTATGGCAAATAATCTATGAGTGCTGCAGTGCTGGCTTAACCCTTGTGAATTTTTAATTTTTCCTGAGATTTTTCTATATAACATCAACTAAAATAACACATTTTTGTTGAATTTAAACATAATAGGTAGTACACAATTTACACTTAATATAAACTCTTTACTTATAGGGTTGGAAAGGCTACATAAGAAACTACAAATAAAAAGCAAAAAACTAGTATAATATTTGATCAGACACATGAATTAGCTATAACATATACAAATATCCAACCATATCTAGCATGGCTATAGAATGATACTGGCATGTTCCCTTAGTTAGGGCTTCCAGTGAGTGCCCTTCACAAGTACTTCTATTAAGAACTTTCAGTGAGCGCCTTAGGTAAGTTCTCTTGAGCAGGAGGACTAGCATGATTGAGGAGGTTGTTAATATTGGATCGATAGGTGTACACCTTCGATATTTTGGATGAGGAACAATCTAAGAAAGACAAGTTTCCTAAATCGGTGTGAGTTTTCTTTTACGGTTAATTCTTGTGGAGAGATTAGTTTCTTGGGTTGAGATATAAAGAGACGGGTTCCTCAATTAGTTAAACTTATCTAAGGGTATGTCTCCTTGGTCGAGCTTTTATCGGGCGAGCTTTACTGGGGCTAATGTCTTCCCTTCTTGAATCTTTCTGAGAAATGTACTTCTTTGATTGGGACATATGTGGAGGAGTGGATCTCTAGTCTGAGCTCCCATAAGGTGAGCTTAATTAATCTGTGGGAGTTGCCTCTTATGTATATTGAGGTGTACATGTAGGGTCTTTGTAATCGGAAAGAAGAGAATATCTTAAAGTGAATAGAATTAAAGATAAATTAATGACAAGTTTGAGGAAGAGATTAAGCTCATAATATTGTAATAAACTTCATCATAATCCAAGAAGACACCAATTAAGGAAATTAAATTATTTTGGTCCTTATAAAAGAAGATTGAGTAAGTGAATATGAGATTTCCTGAAAATAACTTATTGAGGCAACTCGAAAGATAAATTAGGGCTTATATGTTTTCAAATAAAGGTCGTATTTCCTCTTTTATCTTTTAGAAGAAAATGACAGATATGATGAATTCAGTTTTCTATATCTTATAAACAAATGCATTCTGTTTTCTTAAAATACAATATCTTTCATAAAATCCATCCTGTCTTCTAAAATTATATAAATGTTTTATGTTTTTGGTGAACCAAGCAAACATATCCTCATTTAGGTTTCATTTGGAATGACTTTCTTACTGCTTCTTAAGCAATTTTTTAGTATCAAAATTTTTTAAACTAAAAAGTTATGTACTAAAAAGTTACTTTAGAAAACAACAAAACCCAAACAAAGCCTTAAACTTACAACAACAACATCAAGCCTTTATGCCACTACGTGGGGTCGGCTACATGAATCCTTTTTCTCCATTGTGTCATATTAAAAGTCAAATTCTCATTTAAATCTAATAAAGAAAGGTCATTCCTAATATTTTCTAACCAAGTCTTTTTAGGTCTACCCCTACCGTTCTTAACATAAGTCAAATCTAATACCTCTACTCTCCTAGCCGGGTCATCGGAAGACCGCCATTTTATTTGACCAAACCATCTAAGGCGACTCTCTCTAATCTTATCTTCTACTGTAGCTACTCCAACCTTTTCACGTATATGCTCATTTTGCATCCTATCTCTAAGGGTAAAGCCACTCATCCTCCTGAGCATCCTCATCTCTGCCACACTTAACTTAGTATTATGCTTCTCTTTTAATGGCCAACATTCGGCACCATAAAGCATTGCAGGCCTCACTACCATCTTATAGAATTTTCCCTTAAGTTTGAGGGGTACATTTCTATCACATAACAAGCCCGATGCATTCCTCCACTTCAACCATCCAACTTGAATTCTGCTGATAATATCTCCATCTATTTCACCATCACTCTGAATAACAGATCCAAGATATCTAAAACGTGTACTCTTATTAATGACTTGATCACCCAAAGTCACAATCCCCTCACTAGGTCTATTACTACTAAAATTACGCTCTATATATTCCTTTTTAGATCTACTCAAGCGAAAACCTTTAGACTCTAAGGTTGACCTCCATAATTCAAGTTTACCTTCAACTCCTTCTCTAGTCTTATCAATAAGAAGAATATCATCAGCAAAAAACATACACCAAGGTACATCCTCTTGCAAATGTCTAGTGAGAACATCGATGACTAAAGCAAAAAAGATATGGGCTTAAGGCTGATCCTTGATGTAACCCAACCGAAATAGGAAAATACTTGGTCAAAGCCTTAAACTTACCATAGCACAAAAAATCACACCGATCCTCTTAACAAAATTTTTGAAAATAAAAATTGCATATAGATATCATGATGTAATTTGCATCATAATATGCTTAAAAGTTCTTCAATTTTTGCTAAAAAAGATATTTATATATGATAACATAAGTAGCAGTAATTTTAGTAAAATTTTAATAACTTTTATCAAACTATTCAATCTTGATAGTATTTTTGGGATGAAAACAAGTTCAGTCAAGTCGAATTTATTTTTAATCGAGCCAAGACCATTTTAATTTAAATTGAGCTTGAGCTTGACATGAGCTCAAAATATGTGGCTTGAGCTCGACTAGAATGCTTGAGCTTAGTAAGAAAGCTCAAAATTGGCTCGTGCTGGAGCTCGATTTCTTATTTTGAATGTGGACAAAAAATAATTATTAAAAAAATACAAATGCTGAATGAGGTTTAAGATTCAATTCTTTGACTGGAGTTGAACTAAATGATCTAATAGATATTAAAATTATTTAAATAAAAATTAAATGATGAGAGGAACTTTGCCATCTTATAATTTAAAAAGTTTGTCATATTATTAGAATTATAAATTATGGTGATTAGCATCATTAATATAAATTGGCTATTATATAGATTTCCTTAGAACAAATGATTTAAAGTGCGTTTAAGGTTTTGTTTGGGGAAGCTTTCTTAATGCTTTCTAAAGCAGCTTTTTAGTACAAAAATTTCTAGTTCAATACATTTATGTACTACAAAGCTATTTTAGAAAGCATTAAAAAGTCATCCCAAATGAAACCTTAGTCATTAATTATTTTTACAAAATTTTCTTATAATTGTAATAATCGCTTATTTGACTTAAAAATCCAATAAAAAAATCATATATTTAGGCTTCGCTTGGGACTGCTTTTGACTACACTGCTTTCAAGAAACCGTTTTAAAAAGCAATAAAAAAGTCTCCCAAGCGAGGCCTTAATCACATTAAAAAAAAAAAGAATTGCTAAATTTTTTGTCACAAATAAAAAATTAAGGCAATAAAAATAGCTAAATATGTTGCATTTAGTCATAATTTAACAAATATTAATTTATTTTTCGGAAATGAACTTAATACATTTAGAAATAATGAGACAACAACTAATATGTTTATTAAAATACAAACATTATTAAATAAAAAAAGGAAAATGTAGAAAACTCGACATTCATGCACAATAATAATCATATGATAAAATTGCCAAAGAGGCCATATAGAAATGCAATCCATCCTATTTAATGTTCATAAAAAAAAAAAAAAAAAAAAAAAAAAATAAAAAAAAAAAAAAAAAAAAAACATCTTTCCAAGCTATCTTGTTTATGACTCCATTATTATTTTCTCAGCTTTTCAATCATTTCTTTTCTCATGCAACACATTTAAAGAAGAATAAGAAGAAAAAGTTCTATCCAGGCATGATAACAACTTTTCTTTTCTTAACCTTCTCAATCTCTTTCTTCAAATTTTGCACAATGATTTGAAACTTGCTAAAATCATGAACTACGTCATAGAGAGGAGTCTCCTCTTTGGGTCCATCAGGATAGAGAAGTCGAGCTTGAATGTCTTGAAACCTTCTGTAATTTTCTTCAGCTTTCTTGTCACCCTTGATAGAATAAATCACTGCCTGTAAACACACCACAAATAAAATAGTTTATCATTGATTTTATATATGTGTACAACAACAACAACAACAAGCCTTTATCCCACTATGTGGGGTCGTCTAAATGAATCTTTTATTCTCCATTGTGTCATGTTAAGAGTCAAATTCTAATGTAAATCTAATAAGGAAATGTCATTTCTAATATTTTCCAACCAAGTCTTTTTTAGGTCTATCTCTACGTTTCTTAATACAAGTCAAATCTAGTACATCTACTTTCCTAACCGGTCATTGGAAGAACGCCGTTTTATGTGACCAAACCATCTAAGAAGACTCTCTCTAATCATATCTTCCACTGGAGCTAATCCAACCTCATCACGTGTATGCTTATTTCGTATTTTGTCTTTAAGAGTAAAGCGACTCATCCACCTGAGCAACCTCATCTTTGAAACACTTAACTAAATATTATGCTTCTCTTTTAATGGCTAACATTCTACACCATAAAATATTGTAGGCCTTAGTACCATATTATATAATTTTTCCTTAAGTTTGAGAGGGACTTTTCTATCACACAACAAGCGCCTGATGCATTCCTCTACTTCAACAATCCAACTTAAAATTCTACTAATTATATCCCCTTCTATTTCACCATCACTCTAAACAATAGACACAAAATATTTAAAATGTGTGCTCTTATTAATGACTTCATAACCTAAAGTCACAATCTTTTCATTAAATTATTATTACTAAAATTACGTTCCATATATTCAATTTTGGATCTACTCAAACGAAAGTCTTTAGACTCTAAAGTTGATATCCATAATTCAAGTTTATCTTCAACTCCTCTACTCTTATCAACAAAAAGAATATCATCAACAAAAAACATACACCATGATACAACCTCTTGCAAATATCTAGTGAGAGCATCCATGACTAAAGCAAAAACATATGGTCTTAAAGTTGAACCTTGATGTAATCCAACTGAAATAGTAAAATTCTTGGTCAAACCAATCAATTTTTAAAATTTGGAAGAGACATAAATTGAATATTTTAATAAAATTTATATTTGTGCAAGTAAAATAAATTTTTTTGAATATATTTGGCAAAATTTTGAAGAGAAAACAAATTGAAATATTTTATAAAAATTATATTTATGAAATATATATATATATATATATATATATATATATATATACAAAGCATTAGAAATAAAATTTCTAAATGAAAAATTGATTCTAAACAATATACAATAGAGAAAAAAGGATTCATTTAACCAACCTTAATGTAATGAGATAAAGATTTATTGTTGTACACATTTTAAAATAAAATTGAAGGCATAATATTAATATTAATTATAATTTTGCAGTTATTAATATCTTTAGTGAAAAGACAAATTAATAAATGATAATTTTTTAAATTTGTACCTTATAAAGTGCAGCTCTTGCATCAGTGATCCCTTCATCATAGAGCCAAGGACAGGTCAAAGCTTCATCGTAGTCTCCCTTTGTGAACCATCAAGTAGAGGCAAATGGTCCATTAAAATTTGGGATTTAGTTGTCAAATTAATATTTAAATTAGCTAGGGCCGAGGCTATGTAAATATGCATAAAACATTTCATCTACGTATGAGAAGTCATTTTAGGCTTTTTTTTTTGGAACAACTTTCTTATTATCTCTTAAAACAACTTTTCAGTATAAAAAATTTAACTTTTTTATTAAAAAATTCGTTTAAGAAATAGTAAGAAAGTTGTCACAAAAGAAACTTTCGTTACCTTGTAAATGAGCATCTCAACTAGCAACATTCCGAGCTCATGTGCCTCATGGGGTGTGGCCTTCTCTATTGCTTTCCTTAGCAGCGCCACTGCTTCATCTTCCTTACCGGTCATCTCTAGCTTCCCTGCCACACTCTGCAACCATGATGCAAAATTACACTCCATTAAATATATTTAGGGCTAACATCTTGATATGGAGATTCAAAATTTTGAAAATTTAAAATGGCCAAAATCTTTGAAGGATCTAAATGATAGAAATTTAAAGGTATATATTAAATGTTTGATTCGCTAAGGATATATGGTATTTGTTTATAAGAATAATTAATAAATCAACAACCTCTAAATAAGAGAAATAAAAAGATTTGTTAGAAAGAATTATCACGGTTATTGAATATGAGTTTTATCACAACATATTTGCGATAAAACATAAGATTTTATTACTGAAGCAACTCAAAGAAGTTGAGTTACTTATTTTATTAAATAAAGATTTATCTTTGAAATATGTACATAACTATTAGATTTATACGCACAATTAATCTCATAAGTCTTACATCAACTTTCAACGAGCCCTCTCTTCCCTCAAAGTTTAATGCAAGGATCCAAATTTTATCTCAATTTTAACAATCTAGAATGATTCAAAAGGCTCAACAGCCAACATTGATGCGTAGTATTACCAATATTAATAGTAAATATTAATATCAATCTGAAATACAAAGTCTAATAGAGAATTTACTGTTTAATTGGAAATCAGCCAAATCTAACTATCTCAAAATACAACAAAATAGGCCTAGATGATGCATTCTGAATGTTTCAAAATTTTATTTTGTACTTTTTTAACTTGCAAACAGACACCAAAGTTTTTAAAAACTATGGGATTTGTAGCACTTTACAGCCTTTTACATAAAATCAAACCGCCATTTAATATAAAAAATTATATATATATATCACTTAATATAAAAAATGGTACATATAAACAGACACAAAGAATGATATATATAAATATATTCTCAATAATTTATACTTAATTGTGATTAAACTTAGGCTTCGTTCGGGACAGCTTACTGCTTCTTAAAACAGTTTTTAAGAACAAAATATAAATTTTTTGTATTAAAAAGTTATTTTAAAAAAACAATCCCAAGGGAAGTCTTAGATTTCGTTTGAGACAGCTTCTTTAATGTTTTCTAAAGCATTTTCTTTAGTAAAAATAAAATTTTTATACAAAAATGTTGATTTAGAAAGCAGGGAAAAAGCATGCAATTTCAAACGAAACCTTGGGATGAATTTCTTACAGCTTCTTAAGCAGATTTTAGTAAAAGGTTTTTTGGAACTAGCGCTTAGTTTGAGACGATTTTTTTACTGCTTCTTAAAGCATATTTCTAGTACAAAATTTTAATTTTTATATTGAAAAGTGCTTTATAAGAAGCAGTAAAAAAGCCGTTCCAAACTAAGCCTAAAAGCTGCTTTAAGAAGTAGTAAGAAAGCCTTTTCAAATGAAGTTTGTTAGCTTTCTTACTGCTTTCTAAAATAGCTTATTTGTAATAAAATTTGGGTTTTTTTTTACTAAAAAATTAATTTAAGCAGTAAGAAAGCTACCTCAAATGTTTAACTCAGTTTCTCACATTTTGTGGCTCATCATTTCTTAAAAAAAAAATCTACGAGGGAATTAAAAAATTATTTCATGAGGAGTTTGAACGTTGAGTTACGTCCGGACTCCAATAAAAATATGCCATGTGTCATTGCTATGCTATGTACAATTTTATATGCACTATGCACATATTATTCATATAATTTGTACATAATATATATAAATATGTGAATATTATGTAAAAAATATGTCACATTTTTATTGGAGTTCGTCCGCACTTAATAATTTCTTGAGGGAACCAACCTGCAGTTTGCTGAAGTGCATGCGTCCGTCACTCGGATTTAGAAGTTCCTCGAATTCAGCGTCGGCTCGGTCGAGCTTCGCGTCATTGAGCCTCGCCTCCTGCGCGTCAATGATCCTCTCCAGAGCCAAACGCCCGCCGTGGAGCGCCGCGATAGACATGGACCGCTGTAGCAACGGCCTGATCTGCTCCACGCGCCCGGGCCCGGCATCCCTTCCGCGTCGTCGCCGAAGAAACTTGTTCGCCCGCCCGCGGTTTCTGTAGGCAAGGGCGAGGAATATGCCGGTGAAGATGAGTGCTCCAGCAGTTTTCGGGCTTGTCAGGATGTTCATACACGCCCATCCGGCGTGCTGGATCTTGGAGGCCACGCGGTTTAGAACATGTGGCGTGGGCGGGTCGGGCTGCTGATTTCTATTGGTTTGCTTGCGTTGGGCCTGGTTTTCAGCCATGGTGGCGAGATGGATGGGCAGGCGGGATGGGATGGAGAGACGGGGATTTAAAAGGAGGAGAGGGAGGAAGTCAGGGAATGATGGGTTTGCTTGTTGGGAGAGGAGAGAAGGGCATCGAGCTCTAGGAGAGTGCTGAGTTACGCGAGGAATGGAATGGAAGTAAAGCAATGGATTTTGCGCTTTTGCTTTCTTTCTGGTTTGTTGGCTTTAATTTTTTTTTTGTTGGAAGTTTTTTTTTTTTGTTTACTAAATTTTATTATTTTGCTTATTATCCTCGTAGATGAAGGAACTTTTAGATAAGAGAAAAATTAGATTAGAATACTTGTGGAATACATTAATACAAAAGAAACTTTATTATGTTGGCTTAAGGGAGCCAAAGATCTACATATCTAAGCTCTACTTGTATTATAATGCCAAGACCATGATATAAAGTATTATCTACTGGAAAGGCTCTCATAGAAAAATTGACAAATGAAGGCATATATATATATATAAACTCACAAAGGGGCCTAGGCGTTAATATAAAAAAAAAGTTACAGAGTCCTTACAGGTGGCCATCGGCTCATTAATGCTCTTACGAGCTACAAAACAAAGCAAAAGAAAACCTACGAGCCAATTATCTCCCACTAATTAAAAATACAAGGCACCCTAGTAACATGCTAACGATGCTATAGACAAGCATCCAAAAAAGAAAGATAATATGATTACAGTAAGGACCAATCTTTCTGCAAAAAAACTTGAAGTCAGCCAAAAACAGCTCCACCTGTAAAGAAAAATTGTTGCAAAAGGAAAAACTACACCAAAACAAAATATAGGGTAAATAACAACAATAAAAGAAATAACAGCTAGCAAAAAAGGAGACAAAGAAAATTCTGCTCCAAGTAAAGCCAGTCTTAGACATAAGACTTAAAGAGCTCAGAATACAATTAATATAGAAAGCCTCATCAGAAAAATCTACAAGCCAATCAATCCTACCTTCAGGGTCAACCAAAACCACCTTGGATAAACCCCTCCAGCACAACAGAATATCCCCAAAGGAAAAGCACTGGTTATTCAGAATCCCAAAAGAAATATCCACACCATACCTCCAAAAATAGTGAAACAGTAGGCAAAACAACAACCAAGTGCTAAACAATCACCTGTAAGCACCAACCCAGCCAACAACATCTCCAACATAACAAGAGAGCCCATCCTGAAACGCACGGTTACCCCCAACACCCTAAAACTGATGGTAGGAGAGCAACAATGGGACAAAATAAGTTATCTAGATTCCTAGAACAAATAACCACACCGGAAAACAACAACCACCTACAGGCAACAACCCAAACAATAGCTAAAACAGAAAGAGAAAAAAGCCCAGCAAGAACACCACGATTACCCCCATCACCCTACAAATTGAAGGTAGGAGAGCAACAATGGGATATACCATCAACATTATAACTTGAGAAATCATTGCTCAAGTCAAAATTCATAAAGACAATAGCCAAATAAGAAGTCACAGAATTATGCCAACAGCAGATAACCAAAAAATGAGAAAAGGAGTACCTGGTACACATGACAAAAGAGTTACATCACACAACTCCAAAGACTGGAGAAAAACTCAGCCAACAAAAGAAGAAAAACATTCTAGTTGAATATCCCACCAGCAATAGGGAGAAATACCTCCAGCAAAAGCCACAAAAGAGAAGCCCAAATCCAAAACCAAGATGGAGCAGAACCTCCACACCACATATGGTCCAGCCAACATAAAAATTGAACTAGAAGAAACAGGATAAAAATAGAACACCTCAGTAATCCAATAGGTGAAATGTAGAAGCCCAGAAAAATAAAAAAGACCAAACTAATAAGCAGGCAAAGAAAGTGAGCCAACTAGATCATCAGCCAAGAAAATAGATAGTTAATAACTAACATAAGGAATACCACACGCATCAAGGTTAAGCAAGCCACGAAGAGGACCAGGGATAGTAGATGAAATAACATCAGTGAAACAGGCAATATTACAACCTCATATAGCAAGCTAAGAAACACATGGATGTTAGTGTAGTGTGTACGATACTACATCTCTTATAAATTTAATGTCTAAGGCAAGCAGTACTGGGGTATTATTGTACGCCTTGGATAAGCTCTCTATTTTTTAGAGGCTATAAATCCTATCCATCCACATCACATGAATGACCCCACCTCCCTCTTTCTCTCATGTGTGCTTGAGATGCACTGTCTTTATTTTTCTCCAGTTTTCTCTTTTCTTAGATCAACCGGGTGATGATATTGAGTCACATATGTTGATTAAATAAAATTGAGTCTCTCTTCCTCTTTGATTAGGAGAATCTAAAAATTTTCCTCTACGCTAAATCCATTTGAGAGAATAATATAATATCCTTAATCGAGAATTTTCTTAGGCCGTGATCTAAGATGTAGTTATTATTTTGGATTATATTATTCTCTCATCAAATAAATTGATCCCCACATCAAATAAATCCTATTCGAATTGATATATAGAATAAGAAAAATCTCATGATATTTTGGATTATACATATTATTATCCATCGAGGTGTGTAGGCGAAAGCTGCTATCTTTCATGGCTAATCGTATGTATAACTCTATCTACTCTTCGTATGAATCATTTGATCTATTACATGGAAATAGGGTTCATTAAAATCAAATAAAAAAAACCATTTGGTGTCTTCTTGACGTGTTTTCTAATTTTGTTTTATTATTCCTCTATGGAGCAACATTCTTGATCTTAATTACGAGGGTACTCTCATTATAATAAATTTATATTATATGTAGTGTAATCCTTAGAGATAGATGGCTATAAAGTTTGATGGATTTCAAGATTTTTGAGGTAATCTTATTGTACTTATCATAAGGTGTAAGGAAATAACCAAACAGTTATTTTTTTAGGGGGTGCAGTATTCATAAGAGACATAAGAATTTTTTACATAGAAACCCTTAAAAAAGGGAAAAAGCTAAGGGGCCTAGTCCAGTTGAAATGGTTTCATCTAATAATGATGGTTGATTACAAATAATTCTTTTCCTTGGAGGAGGACATTGGCTCAATGTATCAAATACACATTACATAGAGCACTTTACATAGTTGGAGAATGATATGATAGCTATTATCAAGAGAGTATCATCCTTCTCATTTGGTTGATTGGAGATTGAAGTCAGAAGGATCGTAGTTAGGTGATGGTGGTTGGAAGGATTGTAGTCGAGTGATGGTCATTGGAGGGGGATTGTAGTTGAGTGATGATAATGATAAGAAGAATAATAGTCACTGGGTGACATTAATCAGAGGATGGACCAACAGTGGCTTCTAGATGGAGGCCCAACAATAATGGTCAGGTAGAGATCAGCAGCAGAGGTCTCGTGGCATGGATTCATTGGCGGTGGTACCAGGGTGGAGCTCTAGTATTCTTTAAGGTTAAAAAGGATTCTTCAAGGCTCAAACCTTTTATCTTATTTCTAATCCCCTTTTCATGTGAATAATGAGAGTTTACTTATAATTTTTTGAGAGTGACATGCTCAATAAATATGAAGAATATCTAAGAAAAATTTAGAATGTTATATTAGATGACTAGTATCAATTCCCTCGATCATGGAGAAATTTTTAAAAATTTATGTCTTAATGATGTCAAAATTCAACGATTAGGCTCATTGGATTCATCTCATCGAGCCGTTCTATTTGATTATATGCATGTCATATTAATATACCATTTGGTCATCCAATTGATATTATGAAGCTTCCAAAAATATTTCATCTTAAGATTTTGGCTCAGATTGGGTTGAATTTTGTGCCATTGGATTTGACTCCTTGAGATGTTCAGTTTGGCTATAAGCTTGGTGAAATTGAAGTTTGGATGGTCTTGAATTTAATTTTAAAATTTTCTTATTCATTTTTGCATCAAGATTCGTGCCCAATCAAGGATACTTTTGGTAACATATATGTTTCCCTCTAGTTTCGAATGTCGAGGCTTGTAGAGTCTTAAAATATGTGTCAGAGCTTTTGAAAACTTATTGATGCTAATTTATAGTTTCAAACAAATTAAAAGGCGTGACCATTCCTTTATTCATCATTTTGGACCTTCCCTCAAACAAAGTAAAATACACTTGATTATAATTTGATATTTCTTGAAGTCAAGGAATTTATTGGAACTAGATTTGTTGAAAACGTTTGCTCCCAAACTTTTTTTTTGGCATTCTGCCTACTTGAGGTGGAGGAGGTTGGTTGGTTGAGGCAGCAACAATGTCGCCTCAATTAAGTTATTTTTAATGGAAATAATTAAATTTTGGATTTTAAAATTAAAATAATTAAAAAATTCATCAAAATCCAAAAAAAGTTTGAAATACCTTTCATCTACCCTCCCCCTTGCACTTATAAATAACCCCCATGTGGGTGGGGAAAAAGCACAATCTCTTAAGTTGATCCAAGCCCTCTTTTGGATTAGTAACTATGAGATTATCAATGACAATCACAACCTTGTTCTCTTGTGTTGACCCTATCTTTCCCTTGGATTATTTGGCTCGTAGAACATTGGTGGAGATCCAAGCTAACATTGATGGAAGTTAATACAAACATTGGTGGAGATCATAGCCTAGTTCTCTTATGTTGATCTAACTTTTCTTTTGGATTGGTAGCTTAAAGAATGTTCATGGCGATCAAAGATTGGTTCTTTTATGCCGGTCAAAGTTTTCACTTAGATTGATAGCTCAGAGAATATTGGTGGCAATTAAAGCTTGGTTATCTGGTGTCGATCCAAGTTTTACATTGGATTGGTAGCTCGGAGAACATTGGTGGTGATCATAGCTTGGTTCTCTTATGAAAGTCAAAGCTTTCCCTTGAATTGGTAACTCATTGAATATTGGCGATGATCAAACTGAATGTTGGTGGTGATTAAAGCCTAATTCTCTTGTGCTGGTCCAAGTTTTTCTTTGAATTGGTAGCTTGGAGAATGTTGGTGGTGATCCAGACCTAGTTCTTCTACGCTGGTCTAAATTTT